TGCGACTCTCAGGTTGAAAAGCCCTGTACAGTTTATTCGATTGTTTAGCCACGACCGAGATTGGTAATATTCTATTCAGGCTAACGTTGAGGAGATGTTTGATCGGGTAGTCTGTAAATTGTTTCCGCGCATTTCAGGCTCTGAAGAAGACGAATTATTGCCGAAACGTTAGCCTAAATAAAATATGACCAATCTCGGTCGTGGCTAATGATAAACGTGCATATTGCATTTGCGCGCTTCGGGACCCCACCGTGGTTTCCCGCTATTTGCAGATTTTTGAATCGAGTTAACGATTCTTTGTAAATTAGACTAATGAACCAGTAATCTAAAGGTGCCTATTTGGAGGAGCGTTCGCTTCGGGACCACCACGCGGCTTCCCGCTATTTGCACATTTTTGAATTGCGCTTACGATTCTTTATATTAGGTTGGTCCGAAAGTTCTGTCCCACCATTTTCAAAAAATCATAACTTTCTCATAACATGATGTTTTTGCATGGCTAAAACATTTTTGGGAAGAGCAATTCATGCACTTTCTAAAACTATGTTGGCTGCTATTTAATAAGCTCTGAATGCAGAGATAAAATTAGGAAAAGGAAATCACTTCAAGTTCGGAATTTTTAAGCAAGCCCGTTAAAAATCCAAAAGTGTGCCATAAAATCCAAAAAAGCCAATAGCCTAGGTTTTCTCATCTCCTCTTTCTATATAAGCAAAATTCGCGCTGATGGAGCTCTTCCTAAAAAAGTTACGATTTTCAAGAAAAAATGCCAAAAAATTTAGTTCCTTAAGAAAATTGATTTTTTCACATTTTCTTCAAAAAATCATAACTTTCAAAATAACAGCTCGATCAGTGCAAATTTCGCTCAGCTATAAAGAGGGGTTCAAAAAGTCTAGGATAATGGCTGTTTTTGATTTTATGGCACACTTTTGGATTTTTTAACAGGCTTACTTGAAAATTCCGAACTTGAAATAATTTTCTTTTCCCAATTTTATCTCTGCATTCAGAGTCTATTAGATAGTAGCCAAGGAAGCATTAGAAAGCGCATGGATTGCTCTTTTCAAAAAGGTTTCAGCCATGCAAAAACATCATGTTATAAGGAAGTTATGATTTTTTGAAAAAAATGGGACAGAACTTTCGGACCAACCTAATATATTAGATTAGATTGCGCGCCGCTCGCAGTCTCAACTACGGCGCGCCGTCCGCAACACAGTGTTATAATGGCGCGCGCGCCGCCGGCCGTAATAGGGCGCGGCGCTCACCAGCTGCCTCAGACACTCGCACCGGCCGGCGACCGTCCGACGACGGCCTTCCGGCCGGCGGCCGCTCTTTAAATCTGGGCGGAGCTAAATACCGGCCGGCGACCGCTCCAAAGAAATCTACTCAGACAATCAAATGCTCTCAGCCGGCAGCCACAAAGCCACCGCCTAGACCCACCAAAAGCGCGGTGGCCTCATCGCCTCACTGTCGCTTCCCGCTGAGAGCTTTGTCGGAGTTTTGTCGGAGCTTGTCGGAGCGGGCTCAGCGGGCAGCGAGCCCGCTCCGACAAGCTCCGACAAAACTCCGACAAAGCTCTCAGCGGGAAGCGACAGTGGCTGCGATAAGGCAACGACGCTTTTGGTGGGGCCCGCTGAGAGCCTGTGATTGTCTGAGTACCGGCTGGTGGTCGCTCGAACGGCCGCCAGCCGGTAACATTGCCATGTCGCGGGAAGTGAACGGAATTTGAAAGTTGCATGATTGAGCCGCGTAAGCAAACGCTCTACTTCTCCTCGTTTATGATTAAGCGCCATTTTTCTACTTCATTTATGTCTTGTTTACGTAATTTATCGCTAGAAGAAGGTTTTGTATGCTTGTCAATCAAAAACACCTAGAATTCCGTAGTGATCTTACTCTATCTTTGCTAATACCGCCCTCTTTTTCACAATCAAAAGAAAATCCCAATGACATCTGTAGCGCCTTTTTCAGATTTGTTGCTTGTCTTGTATGGCGATAAAGAAGTGACACGCAGAGCTGGAACATACTGACTGAGGGGTACAAGGCTTGAATTTCGCTCAGCTTCTTGACTAAACAAAAAAGAACGAATGGGCACGTTTCATAACCATCTTTTTCAGGAGACGAATGCGATATGCATGCTATTGAGATCTTGCGCTATGCAACCGGCGCACCATTGCTTGTACTCGCTGTTTATCATCCTTACCCATGATGGAGCATATGACCTTTCGACTAACTCTTTATGTATCTCAGCACTATGCACTCATGGATTACGTGTGTACTACATGTCACACATTTCTATGGGAATTGGAATCTACAGTCTGCCCCAATCGGGATCAGGCCGAACCGTCGGCTGAATTTGCGCGCTCGCAGCGCTAGGGGATTGCGCTGCATACGCGCGCTGTCGCAGAGAGTGAAGAGATCGAGGAGAGAGCAGACTAGCTAGCCGCAGATGTGGCGCGAAACCCTCGCGGCGCGGACTCCCGCCATGCCGATTTTGGCCTGGTTAGGATTGGGGCAGACTGTATCTAGTTTGTGTTCTGCTGCAAGACTACTGACCTTACGCCTAACTCCTATTATAGACTCCACAAGACAGGTGCGTTCTTAGCAAAAATTTGGAACTAGTCCTTGTGTGTTTCAGGGAAAACAACGTTCATTACTTGTCTGCTACAATTGCTTGAGCTTTTTGATTTGCTCTGCCCAGTCATATATAACACCGTCGGTAAGTTTTGGTGTTAACGGGATCATTTGTAAGTACCCTCGATATTAACCCATATGTCTTCCTTCAATGACGTGGATTATGTGGATTGGTGAGGCGCCGCCTCGCTTCGGCTTGCGCCACATTGCGGGCGCATCGTTTGGCGTGACCTGGGGCACTAAATAAGATGGACCAGGCTTAATAATGTTGTTCTTCTTGCCAAACCATGCCAAAGAGGCGCACGCAACGCGTGGCGCAAGCTTGAAGCGAGGTGGCGCCTCACCAATCCATGTAAATCCATGTAATTCACGTCATGTTGAGGGAAGACATATGGGTTGATATCGAGGGTAGCTTATCTCATTTGCAGATCGTCTGCTATGTGGCACTTACATGATACAAAAGTGAACTTTTTTTTCAGTCCGGAATCAGCAGAAGGCCGATATGCGAGCCCTTGTTGCGAATGGATGGTACTATGCAAGAAAACCTCGTCTTCCGTGTACAAAAAGAAGCGTCCAAATTTGTAGCGCTAGTTGCATGTTGTATGAGACTTTACGCTATTATTCAATCTCATTTATGTATGTTTCCCTATATGATGCAGTAACAATAAATATATTCATACGGATTTGTATTTGCTTGTATTGAGGATAGGCGGCAGAGCGAAATAAATACGGAAAAAGAGAAACCGCGTCACATGGCCATTTCGTATCGCGGCGCCCTCATACCGGCTGGCGGCCGTACCTTTCCGGCTGGCGGCCGTACCTTTCCGGCCGGCGGCCGTCCGAATACCGGCCGGCGGGCGTAGACTACGCGGCTGAGTGAAATGACACGTGGTCCCGCCAGCCGGTCTTTGTGCGGCCGCCGGCCGGTGCGAGTGTCTGAGGCGAATGATGGCGCGTCGCCCGCACTGTGGCGCTATTATGCCGCAGCGAATGTCTTCTCGCCGAGTGCAGGAAGGTCCCGCACGGACTTCCTGCAAAAAGCACCTCCAATGCATGTGAAAGGGTGCGTATTTGTTGCAGGTGACCGGGAACGCCCCATATCGGCGACATATAGTCCTCTACGTTGCCGTGTCCTGCTGAAGCAGGACGATCGGCTGCTGGCTCCTTTCCCCCTTTCTATCTTCCGTTTCTCAAGTCCGTCAATGTTGAGGGCAGGAAGTCTTTGGGACCCATCATACTTCGCCGAAAAAAGCCCGAAAAAGCCCAAAAGAACCAAAAGCGCCAGAACGCCCACTTCACGAGCGCGACTTTTGGCGCTGGAGCATTAGTTTCGGACACATATTGGATGCCAGAACAACTAAGTTCATTCACATTTATCATGACAAGTATCTCGATCACAATGTCGCTTGTCCAACGCGTCTTTAAAGCTGTTTGCATGCACGCTTTCTTCTTTCATTCTTTTCCTCAATCTTTCTACCGCTAGTAGGATACGTGTACAAGTTATCTACCTATCTGCTTATGCATCTAGTCGTTGCTCGCACTCAAAAACCTTGCGACCTAGCGGTTAGCTGAGATAACTTGATTGATAAAAGTGTGGTTGTTGTCATCATCATGTTTCTTGATCTACGTTTTCAAGGGAGGAGTTTTTATTAGGCTATCATCGGTGGCTGGAGTGTTGATATCATTGATCTGACGAATAATCAAGTGAAAGGAGCGGCTTGCGAACACAACACACATGCCCTAGCGCCAAAACTTGCAAGAGGCGTTCTGGCGCTTTTGGGCTTTTTTGGGCTTTTTCGGGCTTATTTCGGCGGAGTATGACGGATCCCTTGGTGGGACCATTTAATCATGACTGTGTGCAATGCGCGATCAAGCCTCGAGCGTGCAGTTTTACATTGATATATGGTGGATCAGAAACACTTTCGGAGCCAAATTCTAGGCTTCTCGCACGCGCATCTTCGCTCCGGACTTTTGGTTGCTTTGTTGGGAGTCTGCTGTTGCGACGTTATGACTTTGTCGCGACGCCGCCTGAAACATTGAGGAACATCATCCTTCAAAAATAAGGCAGGATTTGAAACCAAATTTGACAAATGCGGTTGAAATAGCTATGCACAGCTGCAGAAGCGCTCTGTTCAACATGTGACAGTTGGTTGCTAGCAGATTCTGGTCCGCACGCCGTGTGTGACTTCGGCCGACGGTTGTAATAATCTTTCTTTAGTTTTTGAGGTGGTGCTTAATGCTTCTTGTATCGTGGGCTTTTTCAATGTGCCTTACATTCGATTTAACCTTCGTTATCACTGGATACTTTGTGATATCCTACATAATCTGCGTTGTATCTCTTTTGTATTATTTGTATGGAAAGCTTAGAAAATGTACCGATTTCAGATGCGTGAGCAATGTCTGGCCACGCCTCCACCGTTGATGATCCAGAAAAACACTTTTTGGGGAACTTGTTAGAAGAAGATACATCACACAATCCACCTCCTTTGAGTGCAGGTAAAAATCGTTTTTTTTTCTTTTTGTTCTCAGCGGCTGCTTTGATTGTAAATGAATAAGTAGTCACGATTTAGGCACGCGCTATACTCGATCCGTTTGATCCGCTTCATCCACTTCGCTATTGGTCAAATCAACAAACTGACCAATGGCGAAGTGGATCAAGCGGATTAATCAAGGCGCGTGCGTTATAAAACAAATTTTATTTGTATGATGCGTGGCTAGTGGCGCAAAATTTCAGTGCTTCGGTACTGGGCTTTGACGTCTGATAAATGGATTTCTTAGGCTCATCTTCATCCTTGGGAGCAATACCACCCGTATCAGTCATCAGCAGTGTTGGTCCTATCAGCACCAGTAGTCTACTTCGTTCATATTGGCCAGAGCCACCTCCTCCATATTCTCCCCCAACTCAGGTCTTTCTTCACAATAAGATAAGTTTCGAACTGAAAAATTTTGTTTCAGAATCCGTTCAATACGTCATGGTATAGCGAGCCGCAAACATACGCGAAGCCTGTCTCATCCGATTTTTTCTTTAACAGTGTTGGTTTATGTTATCGCTTTGTCAAAGAGTCTGAAAACAATATTTTCTTGTGCTTCCCCTTAAAATCTGGGAAGCTTCATGTTGATGACGATCAATACTTTGATAACGATTGATACTAATACTCATATTAATATGCAGGGACAGCCAACGATCATTGCACAGCCACAAATTCACCATCACCACCACAATCTTCATCATCATACACATACACATAATGTGGTAAATCAGATCTCGTTAACTAAGCTGTCGTTTCTTTATTTGTATTTCCAACAATTTTATTATCTTCAAAGGTTGAGAATCACCATCACTATCCTATCACTACCATCACATTGCCCTCTCAAGCGTACAATGTTAACACAGCGTCGGAAAGGCTGTCGGGCTTTAGCACCGTTGTGCATAATGACGAGGACCACAACGTGCTAGGAACTCCCGCAAAAAAATTTTTCGCTCCAAAAGTAGAAACGAAAGAACGCGCCGCTCAGGCTACCGAAGCAGTGTCCAGTAAACTACCCTTGAGGTTCTTTCCTATAAAAATTGTTCGTGTACATTTACTTACTCTAATACGTTTAGCTATCGTGATGTGGCTGCTCGAACCGATCAGATTGTTGGTGGTGAAGGCATTCCTCACGTTCAGGTTTGTTTTCGATGCACTCATCAAACGAGTAGCAGAACATGTATCTCCTTGCTCTTTAGGCAAAGAAGTTGCATTCACACTTGGACACCGAAAATCGTTCAGTTCTGCCGAGACCGCGGGAAGTATCGAACACTGAAACCTCAAAAGCTGGCAAATCTAGAGGTGAGAGTCCACCTCTTTCCCTTTTCCTTGTTGGCTTTTCTCAAATATATATCTTTGCAGGGGACCGCAGAACTAAATGCGAGCAGCCTGTCGAGTTTCAAAAAATCACGAGGAAGAAAGTGGTTTCCAGGAAGGACAAGGTTCTTATCAAGTCCTTTTTATGACTATAACAAGATTTGTCATTAAATATAACCATGCTGTCGTCTCCGTTCAGCAATGGCTACGGAACCCTACGAACTATGTATTCCATCATACAAAGGAATTCTTCTCTTTACTATACAGTGCACTTTTAGAACGAGTTATGTGAGTCCACGTCTCTGCCGATTGTTGGTCATGCTGCAGCCGTGGATGCTCCAACAAAATATGAGGTAAATAAATCTTTATCGGATAAATAAGTTACATATCGATTTTTTGCAGGTACTGCAAAAGCTTACTTCGAAAACGGCGAGTGGTATGTGTAGAGCTGAGAGTGGTTTGGTTGCAAAACGTGAACGAGGTATAACTTCTTTCTACACCCAGTTTTGTCACAGGTTTTTGATGGTTTTAGAACCAATGCGTGCTGCTATGGTTAGTGAGAGGTCAAGATCCAGTTCTGTTTATCCCGGTGATTTTTTCATGCTTTTGTCCTTGTGCTTCGCGGAGCCTAATTTTTTTTTCTGCTTTGTTCTCTGAAGGGATAATCCGGAGACCTACTGATTTTACAGTTCGTCCAAAACGTGCGGTCGATGGGATGGAAAGGAAGAAACAGCCAAACTCTGCTAGCAGTGGAAACCAACCACAACAGAAGAAGCGCACCATACGCAAGCGTAATGAGAGTTGGTGGATGGATAGAATAGGTACCCTTTTGCCTAATTGAGCTTGGTCATAAGTTTGTACTACGGATATCGTCCTGATCGCCATTATGACGCTAATTACCCTAACTTCACGCTATAAGGCGCGGGGAATTTTTTTTCCAAAATCGACCAGCCCAGTCTAGCCAAAGGACTTTACAACCAAAGGACCCTATAACGTGAGCATATTGCTTGAGAGGATCGTGCGATGTGAGGATTTCTTTCCGGAATACAGTGAAGCGACTGAGCGGCTCGCTTGAAAATTCGTAAAAGTGCGCCTTATACGCGTGAGATCAGGGTAAAGTGTTTGAGTTGAACTCAAATACCAACATGTTCCTATTAGTTTGTTAGTTATTAGTTCGTTTTGAAAATCATCGCTCATTGGTTTCTATCACGCGAGGCCATAAGATGCTTTGATCAGAACCTACAGCGAAATCAATGTCTAATTTCAGTTGTTGGCATTTCTCTGCTCTCCTTTTGGATTGAGCTTGGTTTCAAATGGATTCTCAACCTAGTGGTAGACGTTTGTCTCCAAGTTTATGATGTTACATCTTTCAGGTTAGTTTCTTGATGTCTGCCTTTCTTTCATGACGCACTGTGTATTTTCAGTATTGCATACTTCTTGGAGTGGACACAGTCGTCAACCAGACGATTGTTGCTCGTTATGAATACTGCAATGTTGTGCGTTACTAATTTCGGGATAATTTCTTTCATTTGCAGAATTTTCTTTTCAGTTCTTGCGCTTCTTCTCTAAGACAGATAGACATTCGGCGACTTGTACGCTTTCGTGAGCCTGAGCCTATCATGTGGGGCTTAGAAGAAAACATAACATTGCCCACAACAGGTTGGACAACTATGATTACTTTTGCTTCGCTCCATAATAGAACCTTAGGCGAAGAAGCACTGGAACGCTTTCTGGGGTCTCCGATGTGCCAGGATGCTTACGGCGTGCTGGGACTTCGAGCTTCATGCACGGAGGAGGATGTACGCCGCCACTATAAGAAACTTAGCACGTTACTTAATCCCGACAAGGTAATTCTCTTTCATCGGTTCAATCTATCTAAGGCATTTTTGTGTCCTAGAATCCTCTGGAAGGAGCTGAAGAAGCATATGAAATGGTTTCGAAAGCGTATCAAGTACTCTCAACGCCAGAGTCACGAAAAGCTTATAACTTTAACCGCATCCGTCCATGCAGAAACGATGTTGTTAGTTTGAATCAATCGACCCTTGTTACATAAGTTTGCATATTATTCTATAGCATCACGAACTTGGAGAGTTATGGGATCGCATTCGAGAAAGAGTTGAAGAGGCTCGCAACTCAATGTACTGTGACTGCGGCCGTAGGCATGCAAGGATAGCTTTGGATATCCGTCAGAATGAAGCTCGCTATTGTCGCCGTTGTAGAATACGTCATCCTGCCAGAGCAGTTAGTTTGCCTTTTTGTTGCTGTTAAGAGATGTTTGCTGTAAAAATCTTAACGAACTTAAAGTAATGCGATTCACAAGCATTGTTCAAATCCAATTTCGTAACAGGTAAGCCGTTTTTTTTTTATTAAGATGGGATTTACTCTGGAAATGATCTTTCGTATGAGCTCACAACTTTCACAACGTATTTTGAAAATCTCACTCTGATTTTTGATTGTACAGTTAGAAATTCTCGAAATTCTTCGTGCATAATTTGAATTTTGGTATATCCATGGCGTAACATACAACCAAGGCGAGAAAGCGGCCATGTAGAGTGTATAATGTTATGAACGAGTACGCCGCTTTGAAACCGCAGTGGACTTTGGGTAGTATCCATTGTCTGTTTTTAAAGGCAGTGTCTAGGTAAAAGTCGATCTTGAGATTTTGTGCTCAAATGGGCCTGTTCGCCATGCGGAATGCAAAAATCTACACTGGAGAGCGCGAAGACGGCCAAAAAGGGCTTTAACGCAGGAGATAAATCAGAATTGGGCGGGGTTCTCCTCGCTGTGAATTCACGTTCGGTTCCAGCTTCGGAAGCGATCTTCTCGGTTCCGATTTCGAGTCACGCATTCGCTCTTGGCTTGTGGAGATATCAGGGCGGCTAGCGGAATTGAAGGTCGTTTCGGAAGCTGGGAGCGTGAATTTACAGTGAGGAAGACCCCACCCACTTCTGATTTCCTTCCTGCGTTAGAGCCTTTTTTCGCCGTTTTCGCGCTCTCCATGTGGATTTTCGATTCAGGCATAGCGAATAGGTCAGGGTAAGCACAACATCTCAAAATCGACTTTTTTGCCCGATTGCCTTCAAGTTGAATAACGCTCAGATTACGTGCATCCCCAAGCAAAGGTCATATATTGAATTCAAGAAATTGTCATCAGTCATCTGTTTAGAATGACATCTGGGTTGAAACGCGATTGTGCGGGCTTCTGTGGGTCTATTTCACCTGCTGTGATGGTATTGTTTACGATATCACCGATTGGGCCACATGCGAGGTTTGTTCAGACATTCACTTTCAAAAGGGAACCAAACCACTCTTCAGGTTAACTACTTGAAGCATGTGCGACCGAACTCGCATACCGTGCAGTATCGGTTAGTGTCACCAACCGCGCCCTCATCAGGTAGATCCCTCGGTAGAGAGTCATCTTCTCATCATCAGAACGACAGAATGCGCGAACCAAGTGATGCCGGTGATGAGTTCCGCCCAGGTATCTGCATTTATCACGGCATCGCGGCTCCTTTTTTATGTTGAATGTATCACACACAGCTTTATCCGGCGAAAGCTTTCTGCAAATTGTGAGTTTTAAGGACGTCCAGGGCATGCGCAAATCTCATATCTGCCATTGGAGCCTCGAGATGAAGACCGCTCTAGACGCGCTGCAAATCGACGCCAGAAGAAATGGCGTTGAGGGAGGTTTTGCTATGATGTGCGATTGCTATGCTATGCGATTCGTTGCTTGTTACGAGAGGTGCACTTCTTTTTTAGTGGTGCTGTATTTGCCACTTGATATACCGACAATGAAGACAGAATCCTACATCGATGTCATCATTGTAAAATTTAGCTTTAGTGATAATTGACGTTAAGTCTTGGTTCTCATGTATGCTTTATGGATTGCACATGACTGTTTTCTTTTGGCGGCACACCTTTGTCGTAGGGAACAAGCACAATTTTTTGTTTTTTATCGTACCTTGATTCAATCTGCGCAAAACGATTAGCTCAACAGTTATCACTTTATTTTCCCCCTGCAGTAACTGCCTTAGGGTGATATTCGTAATGTCTTGTTTTCTCCGTAAGTTTTTATAATGGAGTAATTTCTTCTTAGAGAAGCAGTTTCGAATGATAGTGTTGAGTTGGTCCTTTCTAACATCTTAAGTCTGGTTCTTTTCGCATAATTCTGAGCTCATCGAGCAAAAGCTTAATCGCATTTTCTTGTCTTTAGATTTACGCGTTTATTTCAATAAATATTGGTGATGTTGTTTAGTCAGATCATACGTATGACAAATGCCGGGATTGTTTGTTGCAGCTGGGTCAATTCACTGTTAAGCTAGTCAAGCAGGTGTTTCTCCATTGAAAACTTTGTTTAATCGGTTTCTTTAGTTACATATGAGCACGGTGCCAATAAATTAACTACATGCTGGCAAATTCATTTGAATATCAACGGATCCCAAATTCGTGTGGAGGTGGGTTGCGGACTTTCTTCGAATAAAGCGTAAACTTGCTAAATCTCCACGTTAGACCTCCACATTGTTTTTCGTATTCTCTCGGTTAAGTTATCCTTATAAATGGTCCGCAGCCGGTCTCCACAAGAATTTGGGAGCCGATCATACTCCACCATTCCTGGGTCTGTAGCGCTTGTTCCAGAGCCACTCAGAAGCTTCCAGATACGGATGTAATATTCAACATTCACGACAAGGCCAATTTTTTTGTTATTGCCGTTTTGGACCAAAGACTTTTTCGCTTTGTCAAACTTACGACCCACCCGTGGGTCATATTGTCCGAAGTGGTAGTCTTTTTGGAAGAAATTCAAAACATGTCTCCGAAAATTTCCCCACAAGGGTTATCGAAGGCGCTGATTACCACAATATGATTTATTTCAGTTTTTGGCAGTATATGGTAAGATTACGGTAGTCATTCTGTACGAACCCAACATCATCGATTTTCTTGTAAAATTGTGTTTTGGGTTATTTCACATGCTGATCACGATTATAGTGTCCACTTTGTTCACTACTTGCCCACAGTGGGACTACGGTAGCAGCACGGTAGAATTTTCGTAAGGGTCAAGAAACAGATGTGAGCGGGCGCCATCAGAATTTGAGACTATAATTTTCGTAATCAACCATATCAATAAAATCGATAATTTTTGATGGGCTGACATCGGTCTCGTGCCCTCCTCTGTATTTCGCGTACATGTAAACTTGAATTTTTAAAAACAGCACCACTCTACGAAAAATTTGAGCTAAAGTCTAAAGTGAGCTAAAGTCTGAGCTAAAGTGCTTTACCTCTATCTACGGTATACCTACCGTAACATTACATTACAGTATCCCGAACTCGGACACTCTGGCTGGAGCTTCGTTAACGTGTTCCCAATCATATGCCAAAACCCCGTAGAATTCCATCGTATACTGGCAAAGCTAGAGCTTCAGGAATCTTACGACCCACCGGTTGATCATATTGTCGTGAATGTGTTAGATGGGAAATGATGAGTGGTCCATGTGCGAAAGTGGAGTTTTGCAGTTTCACAAACGCCATGGCAGGGGGAGGGAGTCAAGCACGCATGAAAGGCGGGACCTGTTTCCATGTTTGCTAGGCCTTCGTCTCATTATTTCGTCGTTCAGTAAGTATTCGGAAGGCTGCCAGAAGGGAGCCTGCTTTGTTCTTGGAGTGGCAACCAAGAAACTCAGTGTTTTCAAGATGTGTGGTTTGAAAGGGGCGTGTAAAATACAAGTACAAGACTGCAAAACATGCGGTCGTGTTGGCTACGACAAGAACAAGCTAGCAGTAGAGTGAGGAAACCTTGTTTTGAATCTTTGAATTTAGGTGCTAGTGCTGTGTATCGTGCTTCACAGAGTGACTTGGCAGCTATCGTACTCTTGTTGGCACGATTCTAGCCGTTGATTTGGTATAGCAATAGGGTTCGTAAGAACACTTGCAGAAAGGAGAAAAAGGAGGATGGAGGTCGGCTAAAGTTTGGGAATGAAAAGATACCTTGCTGCAATCCTGAATCTCTCAAATGCGCTTAGGGTATTTTTGGATGCGTTTGAGCTTGGATGGGCATCAGTTTTGCACCTGAATTTTAAAAAGAAAAGTGTCTGCCTCCGCCAATGTGTCCTCGGGGCTAGGGAGCACCGTTCTGTACTTGAGCGCTTCGCGAGCATTTGAAGCGCGAAGAAACTACCTGACGATCAGACGAGACGACTGTCGCTATCTCACAAAAAGAAATCACAAAACTGCTCAATTTGCGCGAGACTACACCTTGTAGTGAAAAGAGAATTTATCACGGACAGGCGTCCTTCTCTTCAAATTTTGACGACTGGAGCGTGAGAGCAGAAATAAGCACAGAACTGCAGCAGCTTGGAGCACGTGCACCGTAGAATTTTCGCTGGTGACTAGTAAGACGTGTCCCTTGATCCGATAAGGTAACTTGTGTAGATGCAGTGGCAGTTCAATGCGTCTCCGAAAAAAGCGGTCATTTGGTGAAAAAATTGCGCTCTGTTCCGCCGCTCAAACTGATAGCTGAAACATTGTTGTGGGCTTCCCAGTATAAAAGCAGAGGTGTTTTATGTCGTCCTTTGAAGTCGATTAGTTTCTTTCGAAAGGATTTGTGGATACGTGAAATTGGATATAAAAGTATTCGTAGCTGGAAGGCCGATTCATTGAAAACTCACCTTTATGTTTGGCAAGGTGTTGCTTTATTTCGGCTTCATATCTATCCTCTACTTCATCTAACCCTCAGGCTTTAGTCTTCCGGCCACTCATTGTGAATCTCAAAACAGGATTTGCCCTAGTGTATCGGGGGCACCTTTGGTAGGGGCCAAGCAGATTGCGGCCGGAGTGGGCGTCGACTCCATTGTCTTACTGCGATAGCGCATTGGCTGCATGAATCATGAGGATACATAAGAAGTTTAGCAAAAGGAGTTTCTGGATTTTGTGCGGAAATCCGTCAGCGTTACACAAGCTCATCATTGTGTACTTAGCGGATCTAACCGAAACGAGGGTCAGATCGTTAGAATGTCATGTGATCGCGCTAGCACAATTTTCGGTCCCGTTTCTCGCGAAGATGAAGAATCTTATGCGCTTTGAAGGCAGCGTCCAGGCAGATCTGGACCTATGGGGATTTTACGTGGAAAGTACTTTTGGGGCCCTAACTAAGCCACTGCCCAACCGGCAGCGCAGGTAGTGCTCTAACGGCTGAGATATTCCCTTCGAGATTGGACCCCGCGATAGTAATCGCATGGCAGTTTCGCGCCAGGACCGCTTTGCGCCAGGAATCCATGCGAGATACGATTGCGTGGTCCAGCTTTGAGGGGAATATCTCAGCCGTTAGAGCACTACCTGAGCTGCCGGCTGGGCAGCGGCCTAGCTGGGGCCCCAAAATTACTATCCAGGTGAGATCCCCATGTGTCCAGACTTGCCTGGATTGCCATGATCCTTCTCTAGTTATCCTTAGGCCCGTATGCATGAACATTCCTGCGGCGAGGGAAGCTGCTCTTTCTTATGAAGGGGCCGCTATCGAACACGGCTGCGGCTCATCATGAGGGGCGTTGCACCTATCCCCTCAGGAATGTTCACGTATACGGGCCTTAGGCTCCCGCCAGAGTGCCGAAGTTATGCCAGCGCTAGGCCAGCATTTCGATCGATACACGTGTATTTCGTTAGCCCTCAGCTAGCCCCGCCCCAACGAAATACACGTGTATCGATCGAAATGCTGGCGTAGCGCTGGCATAACTTCGGCACTCTGGCGGGAGCCTTAGAGTGGAGTAACGAAGTCCGTGGTTCCGACATATCTTGGAAAGGCGATGATGATTGAAGGCTGATTATAAAGAAGTTAGACTGTCAAAGATCAACCAGGGAGCTCAGGTGAAAAAGTCGCATTCGAATCAATAGAAAATTATATACATTAGTGGGAGGTTTGAAAACTTCCTCAAGATTAGGAAAACCATATTAACTGAACCTTCAAAGCACCATCAAAAAGCGCCACCGCTTGCCGTTTAAAGGTCAGCGTGCATTTACGATCATAATAATCAACCACTATGCTATGCGGGACTTGTCCCTTTTGTACAGAAGTTTCCTTTTGATTTGGATTCTCCATCTCACTCTTCTTTTCTTCTTCGTTTCATTACTTGTCATAGGGAACAAGCAGGCTCAGAAAAGAAGCAGCCTTTTCTCTTCTTCACTGCTATCAGGTCGTGTTCAAGTTTTGTGAGAAGATCTTTATATCATTGGTTACCATTTGCTTGCGCATTCTGGAATGCGCATTCGTCTCAGGTTCACTTGGCTTAACTGTCAATTTTGTTTAAACTTAGGCGATGGGGTGCTGCATCTCGTCGTAATCATCTTGACATCTATTGTCGACCTTTATAATCTATACTTAAGTCTTAGTCAAGCTTCGTATCCACATCTGTAGATCGCAATCAACTGCAGAGGTGACAGTTTTGGTGTTAATCATCATTGAGTTGATCACTATTAACATTGTAATAGTATTGGGTTACGCTTCGCAGCCTTCAAATCTTCAGTAATTCTCATTTACTGAAGAGGCTGCACACTACCTTTGTGGACACTCGAGGGCGCAGTTAGTGCACCCACTGGTTTCATAATGGCTCAGTTGACGCAATTTTGCAAAGCTTAGCGGAAAGATATCCAACCAATCTTGACTTGTGCAGCGGTCACCAGCAGATCCCTTCAAATGAACACGCAGGATAAACAACCTTTACAACCCCTGAAGTACTTTTCCAAAGTACTTTTCATCCAAAGCAGCGATTAAATGGATAATGTATTAGAGTGCTCTTGGAAACCGAAGTATTTTGCTATATAAACGGTGTCGTAATCTGCGCGGAATTTAGGGTAAAAATTTAGGATCTCTTGGGAAAATTACAAGCTAATGAGATGCGCAGGACGCATGTCTACGCGAAATATGTCTTACTGCAATGATCGGTCTCTTTAGAACACATACGAAGCGGTAAATGTGGATAGGAAAAAAGTTCAAGCAGTAGTGGACTATCCGGTTCTCAAAAAGAGAAAATGAACGTTGGCTTTTGTTGGATTTTTTCTACAGTAGGTTTTTTCAACTTCTCACAATTACCGCGACCCTTTTCAATGAAATTGTGCTTTAGCCCATGTACGCTAAGCATAAGCTCAACACGACGAGCCCTTCAGTATTGAAGTGCATTTCATCTACTAACAGACGCATCTACAACATCTCTGCAGCATTTTTATCACAAGGAGGAAAAACAAACGCAATTTCGTTTCAATGCAACTTCAAATATAAAGCACAAAGTCTATGGGATGTGTGTCTGTGCATATTTCCAATAGTCATTAAGGATAAGCGGGGAAGCTCATTTTGATCTGCTGATCATCAAGATATGGTAAGAACGGTAGGAAGCGAACCCAGACGAGTCGTATCCAAAGAAAAAAGAAAATTTCGCTACATGAGAGATTAAGTACGATGGACTGACTCCAGAACGCGGTGGAACCCTTGATGCCAGCTCGTTATGCAATATATCACGCGTCGAAGACTTCCACAAGCGGAAAAGAGGTACCACGTAATTGATTTTTAAGCATTGGGTGTAGATTGCAATCATAAGATATATTTCCACCCAAGGAATTAACAATTCGCTCGTTTCCTCCTGGTCACTCGCACTGCAACGGTACAATCGGCATACATGAAAGTAAAAGCGATTTTAGCAGAAGCATGCATATGCACATAGCGGAAGGCCTGTAATTGACAAATATCCGCGAAAACTTGGTCGAACTGAACCCAGGTGTGTCGCGGCTCGCAATGGACGCTCCTCTTAAAGGCAGTAGGTCGACAGAATAAGACCCGTGGCAAAACAAGGTCACAGGGTAGGAGCCCCCATATGGAACCTATCGGCCAAAGTTCGATCTTTCTCTGCCACTTCCAACCACCGAAATTTCGATGCGAAAGCAGCGCTCATCTCCTGTCCTCTCCGAACCCGCCCAGCCCATGGACGAGTGACTTCCGCGGCCAGCCGCAATGCTATAAGCATGAGGTCCCGCATCGACTCTGCGTCTTCGCCATGACGGGCTTCGCGTTCACTCGTCCAGGGAGTGGGCGGGTTCGGAGAGGACAGGAGATGAGCGCTGCTTTCGCTTTGAAATTTTGGGGGTTAGAAGTGGCAGAGAAAGATCGGACTTTGGCCGATAGGCTCCATATGGGGGCTCCTACCCTGTGACCTTGTTTTGTCACTGGTCTCATTCTGCCGATGTACTGCCTTCAAAGGCAGTGTCCGGGCAAATGCTGAATCCGAAAATCCACATTGGAAAGCGCGAAAACGGCAAAAAAGGGCTCTAACGCAGGAGGGAAATCGGAAGTGGGCGGGGTCCTCCCCACTGTGAGTTTCGCAGTTTCAGCTTCTGGGGCAATCTTCCTAATTCCTCTAGCGCCCTGAGGTCTCCACCGGCCAGGTGCGAACCCATACTTGAAATCGGAACCGAGAAGATTGCTCCGGAAGCCGAGAACGTGAATTCGCAGTGGGGAGGGCCCCGCCCACCTGCTCATTTCCCTCCTGTGTAGAGCCGTTTTTCGCCGTTTTCGCGCTTTCTAATGTGCATTTTCGGATTCAGCGTAGCGAATAGGCCCAGGTAAGCACAAAATCTCCAAATCGACTTTTGCCCGGACACTGCCTTTAAAGGCAGTGTCCGAACAAAAACTCGATTTTGAGATTTTGTGCTTACCTGGGCCTATTCGCTACGCTGAATCCGAAAATGCACATTGTAGAGCGCGAAAATGGCGAAAAACGGCTCTAACACAGGAGGGAAATGAGCAGGTGGGCGGGGCCCTCCCCACTGCGAATTCACGTTCCCGGCTTCCGGAGCGACCTTCTCGCTTCCGGTTTCAAGTCAGTCATTCGCACTTGACCGGTCGATGTTAGGACGGCTAGCGGAATCGAGAAAATCGCTCCGGGAGCCGGGAGCGTGAAACCGCACTAGGGAAAGCCCCGCCCACCTGCTGATTTCCCTCCTGTGTTAGGGCCCATTTCGTCGTTTTCGCGGTTTCCAATGTGGATTTTCGGATTCAGCATGGCGGATAGGCCCGTATAAGCACAAAATCTCAAAATCGAGTTTTTGCCCGGACACTGCCTTTAACATTTGGCCGAGAGCACCGTGATGCCGCGCATTTCAGTCACGAGCACGGTCGCGACGCTTTACCGTCTGCTACACTCTGTTCGCCACCGGCTTACTACGAGGCGCGCTCCCAGCTATAAATACCGCACCGGCCATTGTGCTTCTTCTTTTATCTCTGTTTTCGTTCTTATGGTCATTAGATGGGCCTTGTGATATCGACATAGTGCCTGCGTCCCCGCGCCTTGCGCGCTTATATGGTTTGATGATCGGATGGTTTGATAGACGCGTAAGGATGGGGCGTCAGACGTTGAACACCTTGTAGTGCATGGACGCGCACGACATGTTCTGGAGCTGAGTTAGAAGTTGTTGGGCAACATTTTCGGGGTCGGTGTCAGCTGCATCGTCGCTACTGCCTTGGTGGTAAGCACGGTTGACTGTGGGTCAGCTCTCTTGGAAGTTGGGAGTGTGAGTGAGGGAGAGAGTATGAGTGAGCAAATGCCCGAGGCGAGCTTAACTAGCCCCGTGGTAGTGTTGTTCCTTGGTATATAATTTAGTTTGTTGTATTATTTAGTGAATGTTTATATCATTTATGTTGTTTGTAGTGGGGTTGGCGTGCCGCACCACTGTGGGTAAAAGCTCAACCGCATTTGCGGAAGTCCTTTGGGGCAAGGAGCTGAGATGCATGGCAGTTGAGCACTGAAGGGGCGCAGAGCCCACCCAGTCGCGACAAGGTATGTGCTCACAGAAGACAAAACCGAGTTGAATCAAATAAGAGAACTAAAAGGACGAAAGAATGGGCGGCAATAATCGGAAATGTAAGGAATGAAAGCTCGGTCAAATAGCTGAACATCCGGAAATGATAGGGTTGTAGGGATAATGTATCAGCAACTTTGCACTCCTGGGGCTTTTGGTCGTCACGCTGAACTCAAACAGGGCTTCAATGAGTGGTCTCGCAATAATTTCCTGCTTTTTAGGAGCTTCTGATCATTCTTCTACTCCACTCTTCTTCAAAGCAGAGCTGAGTGTACAGTGTACCTTTAATGAGTCAAATTGTTTTATTTCTTTTTCAATGTACATAAATGGTACTCGTATCAACAGCGAATCGTAAGTTATGAGTTCCATTAAGGCTTTTGAGTACGATAACTTTTATCGCAGTAAAGATTAGTACCTAATGTGGTCGCATCTTCCAACGTAAGAGAAAAGAAGAGAATCGTGTAATGTTAACAACTCACTGTGTAAAGCAGAATCTTACGGACAAATTTCGGATTAACAAATAAAATCAAATGCTCAGAAGATAAAATTGTATTACAGTTTCTCAAAGACTGATGGAACGAATGAGGAGAATTCTTACTTGCCAATATTTGTATGAAAGCAAGTTTACAGACTAGTTTACTGTGCTTCAGATATCACTCTTGGAGACTTGGGATTATGGATACACAAAGTAGCGGTATGAGCGATGTACCCGGAAAACAACCACTGTTCCTAGAAGTCCAATGGACAACAGCGAAATAAATGCAAAGAAAAAACCTAACAAATTGAGGTTTTAGACTCTCTAGTCAACAATCATTGCCATTTTTGGCACCAAAAGCAGTGCGTGCTCTATGAATACAGATTCTACCAAATGGAGATTCTCCGCTTAGTTTTTATGAAGCCTGGGCTTCTAAACTATACGTCGTCGTATATTCTGTGGACAATTGCTAGGCCATTCGAGACGATTATGGAAAGCATGTGGTGGAGGTGCGTCTTTTTCATAGTATGGTATTATCCATGACCACCATGACCTAGAACAACAGTAGACTTGTACGGCGGGTTCTAATATACTGTAAATTGTGACTCACCATGAGAGAATATTCCTGTCTAAAGAATTCTCATGGTAGGACAACATAAGCGAGTGGTATTCCATGAAAACACGAGTAGATACTGTGTATCTGCAAAAGGTTTCCATGATCATCCTTTACCATATCTAACGCTAATTCGTATTCTTAACATGTGGCAAGTTTTCTTGGAGAACAAATTAGCTTTCAAGATGCTCAGCTTATTTAGTACCTTATGTTCCACCTTTGAGGCTCTTTCTACCAGAAGGGGGATATTGAGATTCTGGTTGTGTGTGATAGTGGGCCCCCATCAGGGAAATGCCCAAGCCAAGCTGAGGAATGTTGCTTCCGACATTAAGATCTATGAGCAAAAGAGTGCTTGAATAAGACGTGTTTGGAGGAAGTAGAAAATTTCAAATTTTCAAATAAAAAGAGAATTTGATTTTCAGCATTCTTCAGTTAGTTCAAAATTGTCCAATGCAGACTGATTATTGTACATTTATCGAAATTGTCACGTTTAAGAAATCATTTTTCCTCCTAGTCACACTTAAGATAATTTAAGCACTTTTTCGACTGATTCTTCCTTCTTTCTGGTTATGCAATGCAAATTTTTGAAGATTTGAAACATAGACAGAACTGTGCTTGGTGTTAGCCTTGTATTACTTCAAACTTGAAAGGAATGTCTGCTTCATTTTTAACAAACGCTCACCACTGTGTTTGAATCAGTCTCAGTCTGCTCTGCATTTTGTATCATTTTATTTGTTGTGCAGAGTTTTTTTTCTTGACTCAGTCCCCGACAACGATTCACTCCACACTCACTGATGTCATGGATCAAAGGCGCTTTCCAAGAAATGTTTTACTAGTGTATGCTCTGTTTGTTGAGCGAATAGCTTGTGTTTGATTAGGAACTGCCGCGCTTCTGAACGATTTTTAACCTAACCCCGCTAGTGAACAAAAAGGAACCACTTATAAGATCAGCATCACTTTTTTACGGGGAGTGATAACAGCGAAAGAGACTATATGAGTCACCACGAATTTTGGGTGTCTCAAAGAAAAAATTAATGGCATTTATCTTTTTGTAGAAGTATCACATGGTAACCTAGTTACTAGGAAATAGTGATAAAAATGAATTTATATGGGGTGAACTGGTCGAGAAAAATGGGTGACAAAAAAATAGGATCCATTTCTTTCGTGAAGGTCAAAACTTTACTACTTCGCTGAGATTTCGCGAATACTCAAATACACTTCCTTATTTCTACTTCATTAGATAGACAGAAAAAGATTTGCTGAAAAATATTCTGTACTCCTCTTCATTCACTTCTTGTAGAAGGAAAAGTTGGTCTCTAGGCCTATTTGGTGGTCCTGTGTAGGCAATGAAGACCCATGCAAGTGCAAGCTGCATAATTGACATTATAAGTTGAATAATACTTCTCAAACAAGCAGCATAATTTTATTTTTCAAATTTGAGTCAATAATGTTGAAAAATGATTTGTGATACTGTTTCCTTGAACAGCAACAAAGCAACAATTATACGCGTGTATTTTCCAATTCAGTAATTTTCTTGCTATTTTCGACTTAGCGCGCCTCGACTAAAAACTTAAAGAATAGGCTGTAGAATAAACTAACCCAAGAACGACATCGATGGTATAGTGCTTTCTGGCAAACAATATGGCAATAATTCCCAACACTGCTAGCATATTCAGCATGTAGGATAAGGGCTGAAAAAGAGAGGCTATTATTTCAATAACTGACTACATGTAAGGAGATGTGGAAAAAAGAACGCGAAACAAACCTTCAATTTCTTCGGTGCATAGTATTTGAAGGCGCAGAATGCAGTGAAAATAGTTATGGTGTGACCAGAAACGATCAAATCTCCGCATAGCTCTCGAGGTCGTAATTGCTGGAGAAAGTTATACACTTAATATTTTTCCTTTTGGGATTCGTGATCTTCGTTGGCCATGTACTACTTCAACTGAACATCTCGAGAACCTCGGTGGAAGTTTTGCACAGTTGCCAGATTCCACGGACTTCAGAAACATTGCGAAAATTTTCACAGGTTAGGTTGATATAGCTTTAAGAGTGATACTTTTTATAAGCAAAGAACATCAAGTATTTCGAAATTTGCAAATTACTATTCCCTAATTCGTAAAAAATTCAAGTTGCAAAAATTCCCAGCGTGTTCATCGTGTCACATGCTTTGCAAAGTTTTGCAAAGCAAGTAAAAGTAGAAGTACTCTCTGAAGTAATTTAGCTTGCGGATATTCTTAAGCACGAAGTTTAGAGCACAAAAAGTTTTCCCACACATTCTAGTTTATGTGACTCTGACGGCAAACAATTTCTCACATGCTTCCAATAACCAAAAATGAGAGAACACTCCACCTCTAATTTGCACTATAGTCATTTGCACGTCAAAAGTTTGTGTACAGATTATGATAAGTGCAATGTTTTGAGGAAATTCCTTGACAACACAATGTAAATTTCCAAATAAGGCCACTCTGCAGAATTGAATGTTAAATTTTGCTAATCTACGGAAATTTATTTTGTTTGAAGCGTAGCTTAAAGATTCCCGTCTTTTTAGAGATGACATTTTATCACAGAGTCTGTTACGTTCCTTTTTTTGGATTACAGAAAAGCCGAACCCACTTTTAGGAAGTCCATTTTACTCCAAGTAAGTCACCGCAGTATTCAAAAATGAGAAAAAATAATGTATATAGAAAAAGTCAAACTTTGACTTAGTCTCTTCGACTTCGGTCCTAAAAAAGAAGAAAAACGAATGAAACGATTTTATCGAAGAGTTTATTCAAAAAATGCCCAATAGGTTCTCTCAAAAAATTATTTTTTACACAGTTAGATTGATATCAAGTTTAAGAATAAGAAAATACATTTACTTTGATCATTATCAACAACACTTCAAAAATTTTGTGACTGGAAATCCTTGACTGTTTCTGAAGAATCGTTCTGTAATTTTTTAGGGAAAATTTCTAATTATTGCGACAATCGAATGCCCTCACATACCCTCTTGCTAATTCTGCCATTGTTAGATACCATCAAATGTCTTACTCATTTCCGCTCAAAGTAGAAAGTACCGCATAGCAGCATGTAAACAGTTACCAGTGAGTAAATGTTTGCATTGTGACTGGAGGAGCCTAACGCTGCCACTTGAATGACGCATCTATTTGTACACTCTGTGCTAGTCGAAAGTCGCGGACCAAAGTTGCAAATGAACCAAAAATAGAAATGGGTTCAAAACTCTTCCTATCACTCAGGCTTAAGGGGAATACTTGAGCATTTACATAAAATTTTCACGAAAATCATAATACTTTTTGAGTTGTTTTTTTCTGAGGAATTCGAATTTCGTTGTAATATGCAATTCTATTTTCTTTTTCTAAAGTATTTGTTTGTATATAAAGTGCTGAAGCTGCGTTTACTGAGACTCCCACTTAAATCTCGTAAAGGCAAGCGTTTTTTAAGTGTGCAGAAATGGTGAATGGGCGTAGCGCGAGCCGGCAATGAGCCAGTCGCGACTCAGTAGGCGGTACTACAAGATCAACTAATGTCTCACCTCGATTCCTGCACTCCAGAACATTCTCGCTACTCGAGCCGAGACGATGTAGAACGAACCATTCGTCTTCGGAGCGCAGTAGGTGTGCACAGATGGAACGGGTACCTGCAAGATAACAAGCTTAATTTTTGGGTCATAACATCTGAGTTAGAAGAAAAAATTGTTCAAAAGATAACTTGGAAAGAAGCAATATTTTCGCAGACTGACTCAAGTTAACTTTTTGACTAATACTATTGAATTCCTTTACAAAAAATCGTTTGGAATTTTGATTGTAATAAAGAATTACCATTTCTTGGTGAAACTTTTTTCATTTTTTGGATCAGAAGCTCGAAACTGTGCCCACCGAATGATTATCTGTTTTTGACTGATGATAGTTGACTAATGACTTGAATTGAAAAAGTAACAAAAAGTATGGTTGAAATGAGAAAAATATGTTCCAAGCCAGGGTAACTTTGCATATCGTAAGCTATTCCGCGAGATTCTTTATGAAACTGTACTTTGAATATCTCGTTCCCCCTTCACATTCTAATTGAGACTTAATGTATTCTCGTGATCAGATTTTTCAGCTTTTGCAGCAGACTGCGTCGTTTTGATAATTAACCGCAGTGTTCTGTGATGCCAAAACATAGATACAAAGATCTATTTGCAAGTGTGAAAATACTTCTTAGAAATGCAATCAACGTGCAGGAAATAAGTTAATTATCCTGTTGATCAGTGATGACTGCAAGTGTTGGCGGGGCATTTGTGTACATTCTCATTTGCAAGAGTCACATGGATGCGATATGGGAGCGTGACATAGTACTCCTGCCAAAACATTGGGAATGCTTATCTACAATGTGTTAAGATTGACACTATCATCTTTTTGCCAATCAAGAATGCCTCAAAGCATTTTGTGAGCAGAAATTTTCTTTTTGCAATTGATAATCTAACGATCTTACCCCCCCCCCCCCCCCTTTCCCACGAAAAACTGAGCGTATAAGCAACTATGTTCTCTGGAGAGGGAAAGTTTGACGCTCTTGCGATTAGAACCTTACCAAACTCATCCTTCTTTTCCAAAAAATATCAAGAAAAAAGAATAGACCGTTTTTGAGGGCAACTGATCTGCAAAAATCTGATTTTTCCTTCGATTAGAGGGTATGAGCAAGCGTGGGCTTGGTGGAAGGAAGAGTTTGACTTTCCGCAGAGTAGAAAATTATAATTAGTTTCGGGATATTCAGTGTACTTTTCTAGGAGAAGTTTCAAGACGATTTATAAATAGCAGAAAACCATTTTTCTTTCGAAACACTGAACGTGTGAGCAAGAGTGGGCCGCAATCTTGTGAAAATGATTACTTGGGTCTCTTAACCATGCAATCATTTGTTCTTCTTTCTAAATGTTTTGAAGTTTTAAAATTTTGAAAATGACTGAGCTTTGTAAATAATCGTAATTTTACAGAGGGCGATAGTCTCTATTGTCTCCACACCCCTTCAAAAAAGTGATTTTATGCAACCTCCGAGCACTTGGGCAATGAATCACCAAGCTTATGTGATTACATACTGCATACATATAAGAGTTCCCCATAGGAATTCTTGGTTTTTCGGCCTTCATATCTAATTTTGCCTAAAGCGCCGAGAAATATCAATGTCAAAGAATAAGACCGCTGATAACTTCTTCATTATTAATGAACACATGTGCTGGACATTTTTGCTCTATATTTCTATAGATAAAATTCTTCCGAACTGCTGACAAGAAGATACGGCCAAAAGCGACAGAAGAATCATAAAAACTTTTCATTGTTGATAAGCAAATAAAAAAGTTAATAAGGAAAATTACGTTGCAGATAACAATTTAAAAAAATAGATTATAGTTTGTGCTTACATCTTCATGTTATATAAGTTCTAGAACTGCTGTAAATCCGAATGAAGCTTACCTTATTAGGTTCCTAATGTCTAGAAGGAAATTTAAAACTTGATGTTGGTGTCAAAGGCAGTGAAGATGCAGGTAATAGTATATTGGTATTTCAGCCGTATTTGGATAGAAATCCTTAACCCATCAAAGTAAATCCCAACAGCTCTTTAGTCGAGAACTTCGACTCAATTTTTGTTGAATACTTATAACGAAGCTCATTTTTGATGCATACAGACCGAGAGACCTCACACATTTGCCGCCCACCCCCTTATGAACCTAATATAATTTTTTTAGACCTCCTCCACCTGCCTCGTTGAGTTGCTATGTGCAAACGCCTTGAATAATGCAAATGCACCGGAAAGATCGGAATCAAAGAACATTCCTAGTGAAAGATTGTCGCATAGCGACCGCCGAGCAGCGCAAAAAGTAGGCGACAACCTTCTAATGGCATAAATAATTCTAGGTACTATTGTACAACTGCGACAAACGCCGTTACGGTAGGTTACGGTAGCCAGTAACAAACCAACCAATGTTAGTAGCCCATTGAGGAAATGGGGAATATCAGTAATAAAAAAGAATTTCCCAGATTTACACGTTGTAGAAGTTGTAAATACTGCGTTTTCTTCTTTCCTCTTCATGGACGATTGCAAATAAAAATTAATTTCAAAATTCCAATTCACCTGGAAAATAGTGATGCACAGTGCACGGAAGCAATAAGATAATGCAGCACAGAAGAAAACTCGTCGAGATACGATCCACCTATAATAGTGCAAATTTTCGTAAAATTTACTTTTTATGATGTGTAGCACTGTGTGCTTTGAATCATTGCAATTTCCATGTTTATTCTCTCGAATTTTTTTTTCATGAAAATTTTGAGCGTACCTGTGCTGATGGGTTATGATGACAACAAGGGCATTGACGACAAGAATGAGCATAATGTATTCGGTTATTCGAATAGCTCCTCGCACCTGAAAGAGACTACAATTTTTAAGAAAAAAATTTGAAATATATGATGACATAGGGAATTGGGGTTTCAAAAACGCAAAAAAGTTACGGCTCAACGAAAACTTTGCCGAGCTCAGTCAGAGTTAAAGCCTCTTTAAATTCAAATAAAGTCGAAGCCTCGCCTACTTCGTTACGTTAACTAAGCAATCATGAAACTCTTTTTTTTTCTTTTTACTTTCTGTTCTTAAATTTTGAAAAGAAACCGTCTGCACAGAGCCGTACTTCTTCATTTTTGAATACCATCATTATCTTACCCGCTGGCTTTTGACCTTGGATTTCATGGTTCTCAAAAGACTTTTTCGTTTGTAATAAGAATATCTCAATCGACCGTCGTTATGGTATTTCCTATAGGTGAGCCAACTTTTCCGCCACTCGTTACCAATTGTATCGTAGGCACTCGTAAAATACGTTTGAGTGATGAAGGAATTGTACTAAAATGTCCTTTCAGTGAATATGCACTCTATAATCAACGTTATTTCTCTAACGACATCAGATGTTGACCTTTTTAACAATTAACATTAGCTGAGTGAGTATAAACATTAGAATAAGCTTTCATCTCATAGAAGTCTTTCAGAAGTCATGTTCAGTACAAATAGTACAACTTCTCTATGTGTCTTCCGTGGCACTAAAGGGGTCTGTATATCTTAAATCTAAAAGTCAAGATTATTGAGCCTCCAGTGGTATTCAAAAGGCTATAGGACGGGGCGAAATGACAAAACTTATTTTTTAATCGTTTTTGCTCATAATTAAACTCTGTTCAGGCACGTGCAAGCGATAGCAGTCATTTCCCTAACTAACATAAACGAAAACCCGTTGAATAATAGTGTAGAAGATAATAAATAAATTTGCTGCAAATAAAACAGATCCCCTTCTCTTTTCCCTTTATAAGTCCCACTAAAATGGGTAATCCTAGATTTCAAAACCTCGCAAAGGGGAAAAACTCTTTTAGTTTTTATTACACCGTTACCTTAGAAACGAAATGTAATCAACATTTTAAATCAAGATTCTAGCTTGCAACGAGGATCTCAGTACTTGCTCTGAAAACGAATTGTACGAGTAAATTGAAGTTTCTATCAGCAAAGAGTAAGTGTAAAAACAAGTAATGGAACCGCTGACTTTTAGTGCGCAAAAATCAAAAATCTTTATAGTTATTCTCAATGGATTGCTATGAGAAACGGTTCTTAAGATCAAGGTTCTTAAGAATTACTCAAAAGCTTGCCTAAGCGATTGCAAAACTATAACACTATGACAAAGCTGCAAAACTATCCTGTATGTATCTAAATTTTTGGTGACTCTCTTCCTTTTTGAAGACTAAGCAAATAGAAAACGGAAATCCTGCCAAAAGAAGGTAAAAAAAACTAATCGTAACTTTTTGGGATGCCCATGCGAGAATACATAATTCGCTGTGGCGATTCCATTTTACTAACATATTATTAAAGAACTGGGTTAGGACAGGATCTGCTACCTTGCTTTTATCAAATAAACCTTAACATTTTGTCACTGATTTTTTGACCCTCTAATTTTTTATTACGTTAAAAAGGAACGAAATGATATTCATACTTTAAAGTGTCTCATAGGTCTTCTTTCTCAACGCCATAAGTGACAGATTTGCCCGTACACATTTTTTTCTACAACGAAAATATGGTTGAGCATACTTTTCTTTGATTCAGTTTTTTAAATTCCCCATTATAAATGGTGAAAAGGTCACTTCGACTTCTGCCAAATAGGACATTTCTTACCTCAGGAAACCATGAAAACCATAAATCTGGCAATGGTGGAGTGTCTCGTGGTACTCGCTCATGGATCCAAGCCAATGCGACTTCGTTTAACGTCCAGGCAAGGCCCTTAAATCACCTCACTTATTTTATCAAAAAAGAAAAGTATGCCTTGATAGGGTTCAGGTTCACTCACCACAAGTGCCAGGGAAACCAGTGTAGGTAGTCGTCGTACTACGTAAGACTTCGTGACCGAAGTCAGTAAAATTTCTCGTTTTTCTTTATCGATCATTCTGTTAAAAAATCATTTAGAGTTTTCTAGAGGAAATCAAGTACAAATGGCATGTAAGTAAACGAGGTATTCAACCTATAGTGCAATCTCGTTTCTATAAGAGTAATAAAGCCATGTAAGGTGATTTATGAAGCATTCGCTCGAGAAGCCATGAAAGGTATAAGCTTGATAAGCTGTACTGGGATTCAAAGAAAGCTAGAAAGGAAGTCAAAAGTGATTTACAGTAGTAATCTTTGAAAGGACAAAAAAATTGACGAATTTATCAGAATGTTGCAAACTGAATGGAGCTTGACCCAGTGCCACCTACCTAAGTCCTTTTACGCAAGCAGAAAATGTATAATTGTTTGAAAATAAGAAAATAAATGAATGGTATTCACAATATGACGAAAAAGCGACATGATAGAAGGTTAGTTAAGTGCTATTACATCAAGCAAACGAAAAACTAAGGTAAAGTACAAAGTTCATTATTAGTATTTCTATAGCAACTACATTTTACGAAGCTTGATTTTACCCTCTGTACGCTTGTATCCCTAATGAATACATGAAAAGTTCTAGAATGCAGAGAGCAAGCAATGTTCAAGCACTAAAATCTACACTTAAAGCGAGGAAAGTTTCGCTTAATTGGAGATGAGAGAAGATAAGGGTGTTAATGATCATCATTTTTGAGCAGAAATGACTATACATTAGATTAAGCTACATAATAGCCGTCTACCAAATCCTGCAAAAATATATCTGTGATTTTTCCATTTCTGAGAGAATACGATTCCTGGTTTATGTGGTAGAAGAAAGCTGATTGTGCTTGAAACAAAATTATAAATGTGAAGCTAGTACGGGCTGATAAAGGAAAACATTCAAATAGTGGAACATTGAACAAAAAAGATTTCTAGTACGGATATCTCAATCATGCTCTTGCCGTTTAGAAAAACAACTGATAACCACACACTTTATGATTTTGTTTTCTCATAGTTTCGGTTTAAACAAAACTCATAGATTATGCATAATATACCACAAAAATGCTTAAAAATTAAAAAAGCGGTTTCTAATTCAAAAATGTTTTAGGTATGCTCTTACTATTCAGAAAAATACTAACCAAAAGTTTGAATCCTATTTTTTTCAATGCGAGTGCTCAATTATGTAAAGCACGAAATGTATCTCAGCAGCAAATATAATATTTACAGTGGCGTACCGGGGGGGGCATGGGGGGGCGCGCCCCCCCCCCCCCCGAAAATGGGTCGCGAAATTTTCGAAAGTTACTTAAATGTGTTATAAAAATGTGCAAAGGACTTGTCTTTACTTGTAAATAATTAAAATAATTTTTAAAAATTTTCAAAAATACAAATTAGCCTTGTAAAAAATTTCTTTTCGGGGACGTGGCTCACGCCACGCCCCCTTTTTTCAGATTTTAGGGGTTGAGGACCCGCAAAAATCTTGAGGAGCACCCCAAAAAATTTTTCGGAGTGCGTGGCTAACGCCACGCACCTTCATTAGAAAAATTTTTTGTCGCGCCCCTCCCCCCCCCCCCCCGAGCCGAAATCCTGGGTACGCCACTGAGCGAATCTCAAAAAAAATTCACGTTTTTGGTGTCAGGTTTATTAAACATGGTAGTTAGACCAGCATGGAATATGGAAGGTTTACGAGTAGTTTCAGGAAGTATTTCTTTTCAGCCAAAATATCTCGGAGTTTGGAACTACATCAGTAACAACTTTGTTTATGCCCTTCTCTGCAGTTCATGAAGGCTAGTGGCATAGATCAAAGATCAAATCTCAACGTATGACATCATTAAAGGTAATGAAACAAGTTTTTCTGCAAGTGAAAGTGCTAAACATATTGTGTATGGGAGTCGTGATCGATTCGAAATATTAGGGTAATGCGCAATTCCTGCACCAAAAAGTAGAAGAAAACTGTTTTAAATATGCTTAGATAAGCTAATCGATTTAAAGAATATGCTTATTGTTATGCATATCAAAGTTAATATTTTATAGTACAATTTAGAAAATAGTATGAAGCAAAATTAATAATTCATTTTTTAGCAAATCGAAAATCTACCGTAACTATTCGGAGGGACACCCAATACTACCAACTTCTCTTAGTTGAAAAAAGTATGTCATGAAGCTAAGATCAAAAATATAAATCTCAGTAGATTATCAGTTTTAGTGCCCAAAAAATTGAAAAATCACTTTTTGGGTATTTCTCTTAATCACTTTATGTCGTTACCATATGCCCTCAAAAGATTTTGACTTGAACACCCTCAGAAAGTGCAGGATTCTCCTTCTATTATTTATGAAAGGGAAGATTTCATTGAGGCAGGATTAAGTACCAGAATTTCAAAATTTTGGTGCAGGAGATATGCATCAACTTAATAAAAGGTGAGGTAATGTTAACTGATGTGAGATGAATTCTATGTATTAAAAAAAGAACAAAAATAGGATCTGATATTCGAGAAGAAAAAGCGGGCTGATTGAGGAGAAAATCGGAAATTTTCCAGTCACTTGGGAAATAAAGAGATTTTTCTTCGAGTTCTAAATATGGTAAACGTATGTCTCGCCCCACTTGGAAAGGGAAAAGACTTATATGAGTGCTTGGCAACAGTTAATTCTACACCGGCAAATATTCATACGCTCGTTAGCAACACGGAGGCAGTGGCATTTCGATCCGCCGACACACTTTGAACGGTTTGGGAGGTTCGAAAAAAACCTCACGGTAAACAAGGCCGGGTCCGTTTGATAAGAAAGTACGGGTGTGACTGTCATAAATGTTTTTGGGTTAGATAATCACAAATCAGTGCACTTTGAAAAGGATAGTGAAGTGTAGGGGTTGTAATAAGGCAATTTAAGGGTGTAAGAATTGATGATTTACATTACTTACCTTGTGTGGGAGTTAGGTTACAATAAGTAGTGATTGACTGGCATAATTTCGAAAAATAAAAAAAAATCATGTGTTAGGTTTGATTGACATTTGGTGAAACTTGACCGAAACTAATAAGAGCGATAGTAATATAATACTTCAGAAATGATTGATACGCCTAACGCTTCAATTATAAAACCAAAGTTCAAAACGCAGTAATTGAACACTGCCTTTCCAGGGATTACCCCGTAAGCATTCTAATGCCAGTAGAATTTGATTTTTACAAATGTCCGACATGTAACCACCCCACTTGCGTACTTTATCAGAACAAGAAATATTGTTGTTGCATCATAATTGTGTAATAGAATATTTAATTATTATATTCGGATATGAAGAACCTAGAAGCAATGGAAAGTAGGGTAGGCCCTTGAAAAGGCGTAAGGAGATAAGTTAGCAGTACAGGATTTTGAAAAACTCATCCATGTTTTGCTATGGTTTTTAAAAAATATCATTGAAATGTTGACTGAAAAGCTAAGTAACAAGTCTGTTTTTCATTAAGAAACACAGTTTTTTATTCAAAATAACGTAAATATTTTAAGCCAACTTGTCCTTCCAGTCAGGGCTCGGCACAAGGTGGCAACACGGAAATTTCACAGCGAAACCCCCTTGATCTCAATAATTTCGAACGAGGTCCCCTTGGTTCTTGAAGATCTCGTACGAAGTCTCCCTTTGACCCTAAATCCTAAACGTAAAAAAACTTCAAAAAACGAAACGACGACTAAAGAAGAAAAGGCATTATCGAAAAGGCATTATCCACATAAACGATATCCCCTTTGCTTCTTGTCCCAAAAACGATATCCAACTTGGGCCGGTGCTAGCTGTGCCGAGTTCTGCTTCTAGAGGATAGAAATGAGGCAAAAACAGCAACGTGAGCTCTTTCTTCCAGTTATTTTGGATATATTTGAAAAAAAACTAGATGAGAGTATTAGCTATCGTCAGAATTTGTTATTTTCCTCCTGTAGCATCCTCAAACTCAAATAAAAAAATTTACGAGAATTAGAACGCTCGGGATCGACTTTTAGTCACAACATATATTCTTTAGAGGTCCCTATACAAAACGGAGATTAAAAGTTGTTCTTGGCTAGTGATTATTTTTTCTGAAAATTTTAATTTTTAGGGTATGAGGGTACAGGCGCATTCATAAAAAAAAGTGACACTAGGCGGGTATTTAGTTTGTGGAATCTCAGTGGCGAAAAATTTCGCAAGAACTACCAAAGCCTTCGCAAAGTTCATCTGATTTTGATGAAAACCAAATTTAAAAAATTCCTTTACATATCGAAACGAAAAAAAATTTTTTTTGCAAACTATCACCCAAAACGCAGCAACATATTCTAGATGATTTCCGAGAGCTATATAGACTTGATTAGGATATAACTATGGACAGCGGAGAAAGCCCATATGGCGATTCTCGTCATGATTGGATACAATCTAACAAGCAGAATCAAATTGCTTGATGTATGACGCCGTGTGAAACTAGCCAATTACAATTTGCAGGTGAGAGTAAGAAGGCATGCAAATGCATGAAAATTGCAAACTTTTGATCTTAAGGCTCCGTTAAGATCAAAAGTTTGCAATTTTTGTCATGATTAGATACATTCTGATAAGCAAAGTCAATTGTGCTTGATGTTTGACGCCGCGAGAAATTAGCCGATTACAACTTCCAAAAATAAGGGGGGGGGTGAAGTGTCTTAAGATCAAAAGCAGTGCAATTAGTTTGCGAATGGAAAAAGCTAGAAGCGTCTTGTCGCTTAGTAGCGGTGATAGAGACGCACTTACAGAGCAACTGATAAGCGGGGAAATGTGGAGAAGGCTGACTCAAGTTCTTGCAAAGGCTCGACAAAGGCGGAAATTCGATGTGGGGGGGGGGGGAACAAAAAAGTTAAAGTCCGAGCCGAGTACAGTTTTGTCTGTACACAAAAGGAAAAAGTGCAATCGAGAGCTATTTATAAAGGAAAAGTTCAAGCACCACTCGATTTATTGACGGCGATGGCCATAACATGCGGAAATTATGCGATACAAAGATCTACACGCTGTCTTAACCCTTCATAGCCTAATCCTAAAAAGTATTATTTTGACTTAGGCTATTAGCCCTGAAT